TCTTGCCTCAACTACCTGAGTAACTGAGATTACAAGCCTGTGCTAGCAGCAGGTACTCATAGGGGGAATTTCTATGAAAGAAAGAAAAACAAAGATTAGCAGTTGGAAGCCCAATTTTTTGGGGAGTGCTGTTATAAAGGATTGAACTCCAGGGTACTCGACTATTAAGCCACATCCCGAGCCCTAGGCTGGCTTTGAACTCGCTATCCTCCTGCCTCATCCTCCCAAGATGCTGGGATTACAAGGCATATGCCACCACACTCAGCTGGGAGTCCAATTTAAGAGTCCAGAGGGCAGTCAGTGACATTTCAGGATTCTGGACTTAAGGATGGCATTAGCATTCTCACTTGATCACTTCAAAGTTTGTTTTGCAGAAACTGGTTTTGTGTGTGTGTGTGTGTGTGTGTGTGTGTGTGTTGCTGGGGAATCAAACCCAGGGCCTTGTGCATGTGAGGCAAGCACTCTACCAGCCCTGCTTTTTATTTAAAATTCTTTTTGTAGTTGTAGATGGATAGAATACCTTTATTTATTTATTTATTGGTATTGGGCATTTAACTCAGGGCACCCAACTACTCAGCCACATCCCCAGCTCTATTTTGTATTTTATTTAGAGACAGGGTCTCACTGAGTTGCTTAGCGCCTCACTTTTACTGAGGGTGGCTTTGAACTCGCAATCCTTCTGCCCCTGAGCCACTGGGATTACAGGTCTGTGCCACCACGCCCGGCTAGAATATCTTTATTTTATTCGTTTATTTATCTATTATTTTTTGGTGTGGTGCTGGAGATTGAACCCAGGGCCTTGTATATGTGAGACAAGACTCTACCAACTGAGCTATATCCCCAGTCCTTGTTTATTTCTATGTGTTGCTAAGGATAGTTTATTTCTATGTGCTGCTAAGGATAGAACCCAGTCCCCTCACACATGCTAGCTTTGAACTCTGTGCTCTGCCACTGAAGTACAATCCCAGCCCTTGCAGAAACTTTTTTTTTTTTTTTGTACTGAAGATTGAACTCAGGGGACTTAACCACTGAGCCACATCTCCAGCCCTTTTTCATATTTTATTTAGAGACATGGTCTCACTGAATTGCTTGGCACCTTGCTAAGTTGCTGAGGCTGGCTTTGAACTTGCAATCCTCCTGCCTCAGCCTCCCAACTCCCAAGCCATTGGGATTATAGGAATGTGCCAGTATGCCAGCTTGCAGAAACTTTTGATAAAGAATATTAGACTGTATTTTTTTTTTTTTTTGGTGGTGGTTGTGCTGAGGACAGAATCTTGAGCTAAGTATAGGATGTATCAATGAGCTATCCCCAACCCCTCAGATTGTACCTTTGTTTTTTAGACAGGGTTTCACTATGTTTGCCAGGTTAGGCTCAAGTAGTCCTCCTGGCTCAGCTTCCTGAGTATTATGGACTATATTTATGCACTACCATGTCTAGCAGATTACACATTTAACACCCATAGAGACTAGGAAGTCAAGTCAAAGACTAGCCATCAGATTTTGCATGAAATATTTATAAGTTGGGTGAATTCTTCCCTTCTCCAGAGGCAAAAAGTATCATAAGTCACAAAGGATCTTAAAGGACATTCCTTAAGTGACATTCCTTAAATGACATTCCTTACCTTACAATAACCAGAGAGGGACCATATGCGGTCCCAGGTATGAGGTTCCAGGCTAGTATCCTTCCAGGAAGCTTTATGGGCTCCATATGATCAACCTTAGTTGTTTTTTGTTGTTGTTATTTGTTTGTACCAGGGATTGAACTCAGGGGCACTTAACTACTGAGCCATATCCCCAGCCCTACTTTGTATTTTATTTAGAGAGTATTTAGAGATAGGTTCTCACTGAGTTGCTGAGGCTGACTTTGTTTGAACTCAGGATCCTCATGCCTCAGCTTTCCGAGCCGTTGGGATTACAGGCATGCATCACTGTGCCCGGCTCAACCTTAGTTCTTTAATGTTGCCTGGTAATATCTGAAAATATGATATTTGAGTCAAAATCTTGGAAATATAAGCAATAATTGTGTCCTATTACAAAAACATCTTCTCATTAAATTTGTGCAAGCTTTATATTGCCATGAAAATAAGAATATTCAATAGTTTCTGCAGTCTAGAGGGGATAGGTAGGGACAAAAAGTTTGTTCCATCTTTGACTCACAGAGGCATACTTTACTAAATTACTGTAAAATATACATAGCTAGTGGAAATAGTTTCCTTAAATCTGAAGGATGTGGTTGTAACTCAGTGGATAAAGCTTGCCCAGCTTGGGCTGGGGATGTGGCTCAAGCGATAGCGCACTCACCTGGCATGCGTGTGGCCTGGGTTCAATCCTCAGCACCACATACAAACAAAGATGTGTCCACCGAAAACTAAAAAATAAATATTAAATATTAAAAAATTCTCTCTCTTAAAAAAAAAAAAGAAAGAAAGCTTGCCCAGCTTGTGTGAGGCCTTTGTTAATTATTAGCAACATACACACACACACTCTCTCTCTCTCTCTCTCACACACACACACACCATTGCTTAAATGTGGAAAAATAAAATATAAAATAACAAGTAATATTTTTTAAAATTATTTTTTTAGTTGTAGATGGACACAGTAACTTTACTTTTATGTGGCGCTGAGGACTGAACCCAGTCGCTCACACATGCAAGGCAGGTGCTTTGCCACTGAGCTACAGCCCCAGCCCAAGAACGAATAATATTTATGACTTAAAGAAAAACTGATAATGCTACTACATGGTCAAACTTTGAAAATTATATACTAAGTCAAAGAACCCAAACACACAAAAGGCCACACATTGCAGATTCTACTTATATGTCTAGGATGGGCCATTGAAGAGAAAAAGATTAGGGGTGATCAGAGTTTTGATGAGTGGAGTTAGAGCGTAAAGAGAGCAAATTGGGCTCTCCTCAAAGTTATCTATGATGTATATAGACCAGTAGTTTTCAGACTATGCCAAAATTTGAGTTATTCCATTTTGTAAAGCAGTAGTTTGCCATAAGTTACTCTACTTCTAAGTGTTTAGGTGGAATGACTCCATACCTTGCTTGTACAAGCAAACAACCACCATCTGCCTTGCACAGGCATAAAGTACAAACCAATAAATAAATACTACTAATAAAAATGACCACCTTTGAACTGACTGAATTAATCAGCAGCACATGAATACATGACATATCAAACTCATATCAGAAAAACCAGGCCCATGAGCATATGGAACACATCAGACCACTGTATGAAGCAGCCTACCTGAGGCCCCATAAAAGGAGTAGCACCCTGAGACTGGTCATTTCAGTACCCTGACTCCTTCACCTGGTCAATATCATGAGCCTTGCCCAGGAAGATCACCACATCACAAGCTTCTGAATGTTGGTCCTCAGGTTATAGCACTGTGTGGTTTCTCCTGCCCATGGCCCACAGCAAGCTGACACTCTGAAACTGTGGTCTGACCACACCTTGGTCCTATGCTTTGACAGCTCTACACCCTAAACAAATTCTTTTTTTTTTAATATTTATTTTTTAGTTTTCTACATCTTTGTTTGTATGTGGTGCTGAGGATCGAACCCGGGCCGCAGGCATGCCAGGTGAGCGTGCTACCGCTTGAGCCACATCCCCATCCCCTGAACAAATTCTTAAGCTAGTCCTTAATATTTTTTTTGGTGGGGGGTTCGTACAAGAGATTGAACCCAGGGGCACTCAGGCACTGAGCCACAGCCCTATCTCTATATCTATCTATCTATCTTAGATACAATACCTTCATTTTATTTATTTATTTTTCTGTGGTGCTGAGGACCGAACCCAGGGCCTCACACTTGCTAGGTAAGCGCTCTACCGCTGAGCCACAACCCCAGGCCCTCAGCCCTATTTTGTATTTTATTTAGAGACAGGGTCTCACTGAGTTTCTTAGTGTCTCGCCATTGCTGAGGCTGGCTTTTAACCCAGTCTTAGCCTCCTGAGCAACTGGGATTACAGGTTTGTGCCACTGCATCCAGTGAGCTGGTCCTTAATATTTTATTTTTGGTTTTTTTTGTTACCAGGGACTGAACCCAGGGGCGCTTAACCACTGAGCAACATCTCCAGCCCTTTTTATGTTTTATGTTCAGCTATAAAATCGGCTTGCAGAACTATTATTTGGTTCCATTCTTATGTCTAGAGTACTTAACACAGTGTGTGGCAATTTTAGATTTTCCTTAATTGATGGTAGCATTGATGGCAACTAGGGGTAGTAGATTTAACAGATGAAACAATAAAATGGTCAGCAAAATAAGAAAAGCTTGCTAAATTGTTTAGGGCCTTGCTATATTGTTGAGGTTGGCCTTGAATTTGGGATTCTTCTGTTTCAGCCTTCTAAACTGCTGGGATTAAAGGCCTATGCCACCTTCTGGGCCTGGTCCTTAATCTTTTGACCCTCTACAGTGCTCTTAGTTCAGTCTCAGAACACCTACAGCTGCTTTAAGCCTTTTTTAGTCTAGTGTAAAGTGTGTGACTTGAGTGTTTTAGCTATTAAAAATTGAGACTTGGGGCCGGGGCTGTAGCTCAGTGGCAGAGCGCTTGCCTAGCATGTGTGAGGCACTGGGTTCCATATTTAGCACCACATAAAAATTAAAAAATGAAAAAAAGGCATTCTGTCCATACAAAACTACATTTTTTTTAAAATTAAAAGATTGGAGTAAAGAAACCTGATTGTTTGGCTTATGACCATCAGGTGACCCACAAGTATTCAGTGAACTGACACTGATGAAAACAGTGTTACCTGTGAATTTATTGTTATTCACTAAATTGTGACACTGTGGAAAGACACCAAACGTGTTTTGTCTATGTAAATGACATAGCTCACTCATGACAGGGAGTTAATAGGTTAATAGGTGTAGGTTTCTTATTTGGGTGATGAAAAGAGTTAATAATAGCAGTGGTCATGGTGGCACAACCTATGAACACTCTAAAGGCCATTAAATTGTACACTTTAAAATAGTCCATCTTGGCGCAATGGTGCGAACCTGTCTGTGGTCCCAACTCTGGAGGCTGAGGCAGGAGGACCGCTTAAGCCCAGCAGTTTGGGACCAGCCTGAGCAACATAGAAGACCCTGTCTCAAAGAAAAGAAAAAAGTCCATTCAGTATGTTAAGTGAAATTTACCTCAATGAAAAAAAAAAAGAGTTGAGACGTCACAGAACATACCCACTCCTCCAACCAAATGTACTGTTAAAGAAAAAAAAAAAGGAAAAGAAAAATTCATAAAATGGCGTCGGCCCTCGTCGGATCACGTGACCGCGGATTCTTTCCTTCCACCCCCTCTGGTCAGCCTTTGCCTCAGAGATAGCGCACAGACGTAGCCCGCTCGTTGTTAAGCTGAGCCAAGGTAACCCTTCTTCACCGCGTTCTGGTTCTAGCAGCGCAGTCAAAAGGGCTAGCCTATGCAGGGCGAGTCGGAGAGCGCGTACGTAGGACGTCAAGCCGTAAGCGTGGTTCCTCTGGGAAATTGGGAAGGAGGCGGTGAGGAGCGAGAGGGGGAGGTTGGCGCATGCGCATAAGGCTGACGGGTTTTGAAATGGCTTCGGTGTTAGCCGGGACCCGACTCAGGTGAAGGTCTGGTCAGCGCTTGATTGGAGCGCGATGGGCGGCCGCCCGGGGTTCTTAACATCTGTCCTATAGCGGAAGGGCCGGGAGGCTTCGTTTTGGTGGCACGGAGGCCCCAGGCCGGCGACCGTGGGGCTCTTGTGGGGCTGGGGCGGGAGGGACGCGGTCCCTTTTGTGCCGGTCCGACCAGGCCCTGTGCTGCCCGCCCCTCCCCCACCGCCTCGCTCTTTCCGGGTCGCCCCTCAGGTGTACGCAGCGCTACTCAGCCTTGGTCCGACCGGCTGCAGTCCGCCGTCCCCCTCTCCGGAGCTGCTGCGGCTTTAGCCTCGAAGCCCGGGGCGGGGGTGGGGGGCTCCCCGTGGCGTGGGTTTGGGGATAGAGGCTTTCTCCGTCGTGCGCCGGACTTAAGGAGGCCTGAACTCTTTGAGTGTCCCCGTGTTGGCGCTTAACCCAGTGTTGTGGGGCGGTGGGTTCCGCCTTCCGCCGTCTGCGGCCCGCGAGGAGCTGGGGCCGGAGGAAGATGGCAGAGCCCTGGCCCGTCAGAATCGCCGCGCCCGGGCGATGTGCGGGCGGAGATGATCGCATTTTCTGACTTGTCTTTGGCGGGAGTGGGGTCTTCGCATTGGTTCTTTGAGGGGCATCCGTTAGCTCAACTGCCTTTCCACACGAGGGAGAGGAAGTCGAGGGCAAAGGAGGTCCTAGTTAATTCCATACCAGAGAAATTAGAGATGTTCGTTATTTTGATGATAAGTACCTTTGTTCGGGGTCTCGTCCAATTTTCCGTTATTGATTTCACCATCACTTTGGCCCCAGTCTCCAACTCCATCGCCCAAAGAAACACGAAGGCTAGATATCCTGTGAATATGGAGTTGTGAAGTTCTTGTTAATAATCTGGTGGATAGAGCAGATTGTCTTCTGTTTAAATGTGACGGTTTATAGTCACAGAAAGAAGTGCCCTTTAAGTCTGTCCCTAAAATAAGGGTACTTTGGTGATCCAGTTGATGTAAAATGTTTTTGCTGCATTTAAAGTGTTGTTCATTTGCCCTTTTCCTACCTGCAGTTATAATTTCTACTTAGGAAGATGTCCTTGATACTTTAAACATTTCTTTTAAATAATTGTGATATTTGTAGTTTGGTTGAACTTTGAAACGTGGATCCTTTCTTAATAGATCGCTGCTATAGAAGAAAAACAAGTGAAGGTTTTTTTACCCCTTGCATCATGGCTCAGTTTGGAGGACAGAAGAATCCGCCATGGGCTACTCAGTTTACAGCCACTGCGGTATCACAGCCAGGTCAGACTGCTGAACACATGTACTTTAAATGAGTGTGTGGGTGTTGGGGGGGAATCCTGTTTTAGCCGAGTTAGGTTATGCATGTTATGGTAAAGTGTTTGCAAGTGATGTGTCGTTTATTTGTGAAGACTTTTAAAAATTTATAGATCAACTAGGGAAAAAAGTGATTTGCATTTTGGACAGTTTTATAGGTTTTGTTTTGCAGTGCTGTGGATCAGTTCTTCCCCCTGCCCCCCCCCCCCCCTTTCAGGGTTGAACTCAGGGGAGCTCTACCAAGGAGTTACATTCGCAACCCTACCCCCTCCTTTTTTTTGGGAGACAGGATCTCCCTCCTCACTTGCTGAGGGTCTCACCAAGTTGCTCTTGCTCAGGCTTGCCTTAGACTTGTGATCTCCTGCCTCAACTTCCTGAACCACTGGGTTTACAAACATGCCGCCATGCCTGGCTAAGAAGTGACTTAGATTTGGTGAAATCAGTTAGTATCAACTACTGTGTGTCCAGAAGCATGTGTTATGCTCTTATTCTTTAATATACTGTTTTAGCTGACTTTTTTTTTTAAATAAAGTTGATGTTATTTTATTTGGACCTTTATTTTATTTATTTATATGTGGTGCTGAGAATCGTACCCAGTGCCTAAAACATGCTAGGCAAGCAGGGTTCTACTACACTGAGCCCAGCCCCTGACCTTTTTTTTTTTTTTTTTTAATGGTGCTGGGAAGCAAACCCAGGGCTTCCTACATGATAAACAAACTCTCTTAAGACTATAGCCCATCTCCAGCCCTTAGCTGACTTATGCTGCATGTTTTGTTTTGGATTCAAATAAAAATAGCTGTTATTATAGAATTATATTGTCTATAGCTATTTACATTTACGTTGTGATCATTTGAATGTATGTCATAGACCTTTGTTTTTATTTAAAGATGGATGGAACAAAGGAGATAACAAAGTTTATACAACTTTTTTTAGAGACATTCAGTGATATATAGGTATTCTCTTTTTGGATTTGACAATAAAGACTCAACATAAATAATAGAATTTTGTAAATGGAGATTCTATAAAATATGTGGTACATGAAATTATTTATGGAAATTCTTGGAAATAGCATCAATCACAATTTTTCAGAGCCTAAATTTTTGCTTCTATATCATCACTTCAGTAAATAAGCAAGTTATGTTCTTTATTATTATTAAGTATCTATGCTAGCTTTCTTCTAAAAAGCCTGTAATAGGTACTAGTGAAACTCTATAATAATATTGTTTTGAATAAAATATCTAGATTCTAGTTGCCATATTTTGGACTACTTCCAGAATATTTGATATTTTCTTTCTTTTTGTTGAGATTGGGGTCACCCACACTCACCTCAACCTTCCCAAGTAGCTGGGATTTCAGGCATGTGCCACTGCTAGAGTTTTTTTTTTTTTTTTTAAATTTCAACAAGATATTGAGACTTCTTGAATAATAGTGCCAATTTTACTGTATTAAAGAAATACACATAGCTGGACATGCTAGTGCATGCCTGTAATCCCAGTGATTGGAGACTGGAGAAGAAGAATCACAAGTTTGAGGCCAGCCTGAGCAATTTAGAGAGGCCCTCCCAACTTAGTGAGAGATCCTGTCTCAAAATAAATAAAAAACGGCTGGGGATGTGTCTCAGTGATTAAGCACCCTTGAGTTCAATCACCAGTACCAAAGGAAGAAAGGAATACACATAGCTGTAATCCCAGCTACTCCTGAGGTGGAGGCAGGATGATTGTAAATTTGAGGGTAGCCTGGGCAACTTAGTGAAACACTGTCTTGAAATACAAGCCAAGCAGCCATTATGAAGTCAAACAACAATAAGTGTTGGCGAGGATGTGGGGAAAAGGGTACACTTGTACACTGCTGGTGGGACTGCAAATTGGTGAGGCCAATTTGGAAAGCAGTATGGAGATTGCTGGGGAAGCTGGGAATGGATCCACCATTTGACCCAGCTATCGCCCTTCTCGGACTATTCCCTGAGGATCTTAAAAGAGCTCACTATAGGGATACTGCCACATCAATGATCATAGAGGCACAATTCAAAATACCTAGACTGTGGAACCAACCTAGATGCCCTTCAATAGATGAATGGATAAAAAAAAGTGGCATTTATACACAATGGAGTATTACGCAGCACTAAAAAATGACAAAATCATAGAATTTGCAGGGAAATGGATGGCATTAGAGCAGATTATGCTAAGCGAAGCTAGCCAATTCTTAAAAAACAAATGCCAAATGTCTTCTTTGGTATAAAGAGAGCAACTAAGAACAGAACAGGGAGGAAGAGCATGAGGAAAAGATTAACATTAAACAAAGAGGAGTGGGGGGAGAGAAAGGGAGAGAGAAGGGAAAGCATATGGAAATGGTAGGAGACCCTCAATGTTACACAAAATTACATATAAGAGGTTGTGAGGGGAAAGGGGGGGGAACAAGGGAGAGAATTGAACAACAGCAGATGAGGTAGAGAGTGAAGATGGTAGGGGAGGGGAGGGTGGATAGTAGGGGATAGGAAAAGTAGCAGAATACAACAGTCACTAATATGCCATTATGTAAAAATGTGAGTGTGTAACCGATGTGATTCTGCAATTTGTATTTGGGGTAACCCTATTGAGTCAAATGTATGAAAGATGATATATCATGAGCTTTGTAATGTTTTGAACAACCAATAAAAAAAAAAAAGAAAAAGAAATACAAGCCAAGTAGTTGACATACTCTTAAACCTAGCTAGGCCATTGAGCAACTTAGCAAGACCCTGTCTCATTAAAATGAAAAGACTGCAGCTATGACTCAGGGGTGGAGTGGTACCTAGCAGGCCTTGGCTTCAATCCCTAGTATTGAAAATAAAAGAAAAAGACATGGCTTAGGGTTGGTGAGGTAGTTCAGAGCAGCCATATGCCAGCTATATCAGTATCTGAGTCCAGTGTCAAATTGGTGACCATGCAAATCATACAAAAAAGAATTGTTCAACTTTTTCTTTTGTGGTATTTAGTATTGAACCAATAGCCCTCACAAATGCTTGACAAGTGCTTTTCCACTGAGCTACATCCCCAACTCTTTTTTTTTTTTTTTTTTTTTGATATAGGCATTGAACCCAGGGGCGCTTAGCCAGCCCTTTTTTATTTAGGGACAGGGTCTGGCTAAGTTGCTTAGGGCCTTGATAAATTGCTCATGCTGTCTTTGAATTTGGGTCCTTTTGTCTCAGCCTCCTGGAGTGCTGGGATGACATTCTTAGGCCACCACACTCAGCCCCAACTCTTTTTTTGTTTTGTTTTGTTTTGAAACGGTCTCCTAAAGTTGCTAAGGCCTTCCAATTTTCCGTCCTCCTGTATAGCTAGGTTTACTGTCATGGGCTACCAGGCCTGGTTTTAGCATTTAATTTTTTTTTTCAATATTTATTTTTTACTTAGTTGGACACAATACCTTTATTTTACGCATTTTTATGTGGTGTGAAATATTGAACCCAGGGCCTCGCACATACTAGGTGAGTGCGCTACCACTGAGCCACTACCTCAGCCCAGAATTTTATTTTATGAGACGGTTAATTTGCATTTGTACTGTTGTTTAAAAAGTGGCTGAAAATTTTAATGCATTTACACATAATGCATTTATACAGATGAGACATGTAAATAATGTTAAAAACGTTAGTGAAAGTCTGCATGTCAGCAGTTTATTGCTGAAAGTGCAAAATTGAAGCTTTGAATTGTTGCTGTTTAGCTTTAATACTGAGCCTATTGAGTTCAGGAGTCAGTAATTCCTGGGTGTTATCATATGTCATCTTTAATTTTCTTTTCTTTTAACCCCCATCTCAAAGATATCAAACGTTTTTTGTAGTTCTGGGGATTAACCCATTGAATCCAAGGGCTATCTACCACTGAGCTACATCCTCAGGCCCTTATTAGTTTTTG